GTTATAAATAGTATAAGGGTTGAATTTTAACTTTTAAAACTCTAAGGGTTTGGAATTAAAGTATATTAAAGTGTGTGTAACTTTACAAATTTCAAAACTTGGGGACAAGTTTTGAAACTATTCAAAACTTTTCATTTCATAACTTATGAATTAAAGGTTCATAAAAATGAAGACTCTTCATTTCCATGTAACTTATGTGTTTTAAGTGTGTGTTTAAAAGAAGTGACCTTTGGATATCCATCACTTGAGGACAAATTATGGACTCCATTAAAACACATAAATGATCAAGAATTAATCCTAAACAATTCAGCAAATAATTCCTATCATCTTCTAAATTCATAAGAACATGAACATGATCATCAAAGTTTCAAGAATTATATGAACACATACAAAACATGAAATTTTGATATAAGCTATTGTAAATGGATTAGAACAACCATTACACCAACTAAAACAAGTTTTAAAACACCAAAACAGTTTAGGGTAATGTTTCTAGTCCATTTCCAGCAGCAAAAGTCGAAAATCTGCATTCTGAGGCTCCTACTCGCCGAGTGCACGAACCTACTCGCCGAGTAGGATGAATTTACACATGAACTCGGCGAGTCCCCCCATGGACTCGGCGAGTTCATCAGGCAGACAGCAAAAAACTCGACTTTTTTCACTATTTTGCATCAAGTATCAAACAAACAAGCCTAGGCTCTGATACCACTGTAGGGTTTTGAGCATTCTAACACTTCCTAAGTGTATATGCAACCCTATTAAACCTTGGATCTATGTTTGTCTAAGATACATGCAAAATATTATTTTCCAAGGTTTATAACCTATCTAGCATGGCATGGGGTACTTTTAACCATAAAGGAACTAGATGAATTACATACCTTTTGTTGATTGTTGATTCCTTGGAGTTTGAGAGCCAAGCACCAATAATGTGAATGCCTCAAATGGAAATCACAAATCACCCAAACTTGGAAAATATATGAGAGAGTATTCTAACTCTTGGTTTTGGCCACCACACTTACACACACACTTAGTGTCTTTTTCATGCAACATAAGCTTGTTTATATAGTGTACATGGTTAGGGTGAAACCCTAATAACCCATGTCTTTTCCTCTTCCAAGGATCCATGGGTAAAAGCTCCATGGATCATCCATGGACTTCCATATAAGCTTAGCCCATTCCAAATGAGTGTTAGCCCACACCATATAAATATAATAGCCCATGATTTAATTAGTCTTCCTTTTAATCACTAAATTAATTCATAATTAATTCAAGATTAAAACTAATTAAGTAGCATGACTTTATATTAATATATTATAACTTATAATATATTAATAAATCGTAAGTATACAACTCTCATAAAATTATCCATAAATTGTTTGGGTGAAGTGCAACCCAAATGGACCATGCCGGGTCGGGTCAAGCATATACCAAATAAGTTATGGACTTAGACACCTTATCCAACAAACTTTTCTCACTACTAGAAAAACAGCCTTTTACGACACGCGAACCATGACACGCGCTGTTTTATGATACGCAATAGTGCGTGCCCTAAAAATAATGTCGGCTCTCCAAAAATTAGAAGGATTTAGGGCACGCATTTTACGCGTTCTAAAATAAGTGTCACATTGAAAAAAAACACGGAGCGCACATAACATAAAATGCGTGTCCTCTAAGTATGGCACTTTATATTTTTTAAATGAAACGCGGGGTCACTTCTTTTGGGGGAAACGGAATTCCGAAAAGTTTGAAAGGCCCGCCATGTTCTTACCTTCTTTCCACCATTCTTCTCTCCCTTACTCAAATACCCCAAAAAACCCTAATATACTCATCGCTCCTCTTTTCTCCCACAGCAAACTCACACCATCACCAAATCTCCGATCTCCCACCAGCAAAAGGTCTCCTACCGATGTCTCCACCTACTCTCTTCCCTCTCACTACTTCTCTCAATGAAAAACGCAAGATCCTTCAATCAGAGAATCATGGCTAAAAATGCAAGATCCTTCAATCGGCATCAATTCGTTAATCATCACTAGAGAAATCAGATACGCCATCTGGTTGATGAGTCAAGAGAAATCACATACGTCATCACTTCAGCATTCATCCCTCCTTTTAATCATAAGTTTTCAATCTTACACTTTACAAATATCATATAAACATCTCTCTCTCTCTCTCTCTCTCTCCCTCTCTCTCTCTCTCTCTCCTGTTATACCTTGATGAATTATCGCATACAGATGGAGGAACTGCTTTCTGAAAGCCAGCTATCGGGAGAGTCAATAGGGTCAATTGGGCTTTCAAAAGATGCTTCGATATCGTCTTCCCACCATCAAATCTCTGTTAAAGTTGTCACAGAATAATCCATTTGAGTTTGGGCATATATTTTTTGTTATTAATTTAGGTGGAGACTGTGTTCCATGAGTTTGGTCATGCACTTCAGCACACGCTAACAAGACAAGATGAAGGGCTTGTTGCTGGTATTCATGGCATAGAGTGGGATGTTGTTGAGTTACCTTTCTAGTTCATGGAAAATTGGTGCTACCATAGGTATATATATATATATATATATATATATATATATATATATATATATATATATATATATATATATATATAGAGAGAGAGAGAGAGAGAGAGAGCTAGGTTCAAATGTTTTTAGCAAATAGTGTGTGACTAAATCCACCAATGAGAATTCAAGAATAATAAATCATTAAATAAATTAAAAAAGGGTATAATGGTAAACTTCCTATATCTAATTATGGTAAAAATTAATTCAATTAATATCTCCTTAATTTGTTTAACCGTACAAAGCCCACATCCCTAACCTTAAAGAGTACGGCGGCTTCGTTAAATCATCGATACCTCAATTCCTTCTTTCCACCAGAAATCGATCCTTACATCCGAGCACCACCGTCTGCCAATTATCTGCCATCATGACAGCAACTTCCAGATCCTCTATTCAACTGCTCTTCTTCAACGGCTGCATGTGCGTCGGCCTATTATGATCGGAAAGAGGCTAGAAGTGAAGGTTCGGTGGTGCTGGTGGATCGCTAGCATAGGCGATGGACGGAGGCCGGCAGCGCAGGGCTGATCCCCTCGACTCCATTCTTCTTCTAGTCCGATCGTCTTGAAACACAAGGGTGGTTGCAAATTGGGAGTTGTAAGGCGACAGTAAGTCGTATGGGGTGGTGGCAATCGACAGGTGGGTGGAATCGGTGATGGAGGAAGCTGGGCAACAATGATTCAATCAATAGGTAAAGACTCCTTCTTTTCTTTTTGTTCTTGTTTGATTTGGCAGAACTACATAGGTGTTCGTTTGATTAAGAATCGATGGATGTTTGTAGAAATGCCTCAAAGAGAATTTGGCAGCTTTGTTGTAGAAATGGCCTGAAAGAAAATTTGATTTCTATGTTGCACGCCAGGTGTTTGTAGAAATTCCTCAAAGGGTATTTCTTTTATTTTCTTCATTAAACCTTTTGATATGTTTTTTTGTTGTTGTTATTAACTCCTTATTTGTTAATTACCTGAGTAGCATCAATCTTTGCTATTGGTATTTGATTTTTTTAATCAATTTAGGGTGAAGATTTGATTAAGCGTTTATAAGAGATTTTCACAAATTTGAGACATTTTAGAACTTAAACATTGTATGAATGAGAAAACTCTTCTCGAAAGCATTTGTAATCACTTGATTAAATAAGCAATATGTGGAAAATATCAAAATCTAACCTTCTAATATTTGAAAAATATTAAACTTAACATGTTCCACTATTCATAATTTTATAATCTTGATTTAGTAGCAAATTTTATGTATTCTGTCAGAATGTATTCTATGTATTCTATCATATTCTATGTGTTCTTCCAGAATATATAAAGTGCTAGGAATTGCAAGTAACATTCTAGTAATTCTGACAGAATTCATTTATACATTCTATGCTTTAGAATGTTTATATATAGAGAAATACGATTGCAAATGGAAAATCACATGCTTTTAATTCTTTATAGTGGCATGTAAAGTTATAACTAGCATATTTTATTCTATGTATTCTGCGAGATTGTATTCTATGTATTATGCAAGATTGTGTTCTGTATATTCTACCGGAATGAATTATATGTATTCTCCCAGAATGTATAAATTAATAGGAGTTGCAAGCAGCATGTTTTTAACCATTATTAGTTTTTGTTGCATTTGTGATAGGAATGGTCGGAAGAATGGCTTGAAGACCTGATAAGAATGACTTGAAGAATGAGCCAAAGATTGATGACATTCACAGTTTAAGAATGTTCTTATTTTTTAAGAATTACACTTGTATTTATTCATTAACTGTATATTCAAGAATGCTGATTTTTTATGATATTCTTTTAGAATATGTATAAATATATTAAAATGTAGAAGAATATTAGTATGTAAGAATATGTATGAATTTGTATTTAAGTTCGAATGTATATGAAAATATTAAAATGTTGTTATTCTTCAACTAGGAGTTCAAGAATTCTGTTATTCTTCGTTAATATTCTACTAGAATAAAACTCTGAAAGAACATCATTCAAACAAAAATCCATTCTGACGGAATAAAATCGGTTATGTTTACAAATTATGTTTAAAATTAATTAGAGTTAATTTAAAAAGTTCATATTTTAAAATTAGAAGTGTTAATGATCCCTTAAAATCCGAAAATTACCTTTTTTAAAATAGGTTAATTGACCAAAATACCCTTTTGCTGAAATTTGTGTGATTATATGGTACATGCTACTCTATTGCAATATCATAGACTCTCAGATCATAATCATTGATTTTATTCATCCAGTGGTCCAGATCTGTGCATTCTAGCACAAATAGTTAGTAAAAACAAAATAACGTAAGCCTATATATATATATATATATATATATATATATATATATATATATATATATATATATATATATATATATATATATATATATATATATATATAAAATCATTTTTTGAACGGAGAAAATAAAAAAAAATTAATATATGAGACACTACATGGATACGTTGATGAGTATTGCAAAACATTATGAAACTGGAGAGACTCTCCCTGAAGAGATATATCAAAAGCTTCTTGCTGCCGGAACTTTCCGTGCTGGCACCCTTAGCCTCCGTCAGGTGAACATAACTTAAGGTTCATTTATTAAATAAAATGAAAATAGTAAATGAATAAATTAATGATGAGTTGTTATGTTGTTAGCTAAAATTGGCAACAGTTGACCTGGAGCTTCATAGCAAGTAAGAACCTGGTAGGTCGGAGTCGATCTATGATGTTGACAGAAGAGTGAGTGAAAAAACTCAAGTACTTCCCCTACTTGAGGAAGACAGGTTCCTTTGCAGTTTTAGCCATATTTTTGCAGGTGATTAATGATTAAATCATAATTCTTATACCAATTTACATGTATAATGATGAATATTATTTTGAGGTCTCTGTTGATGTATTCATTACTACTCAAATTTATGTTGACATTGATTTAATCTTTGTTATCCAAAAGACAACAGGAGGCCAGGTAGTTAATCAATCATCAAAGACTTTGTGTCACTTTTCTTGATGTTTTGAAAATTTATATTTACAAGTTTCATGCCTTTTTTTCAGTTATATTATTATCATCTATTTTCTGCCCTTTCTGATCCTGCAAAACTCTACAATGACCTTCGATGGAATGTCACAAGGCTATAAGGTTTTAAAGTTGTGATGCGTGTTAGATGCAGTCAGGTAAGAGCCTAAGCTTACTGGAGGTCATTTACATCTTTTTGCTTTGTTTATTTATTTATTATTTTATTTTATGTAGGGACTTTAAGTACAAGAATACTTAGGAAACTTCTGTAAATGTATTCCTATAGATGTTGACTTACCTGGGGTTTTATACTAATCTCTAAATATAAACCTACATACATATATTATATATATGTTTTTCATTTTTGTTAAATTTTTAAATGAAAAATGTTATTTTTCAGGTTGATTGTGACAAATCTCTAATGGTAACATTGAAAAATGATGACAAACTAATTGATGGCACATAATGTTCTTTCCAGGTATATAATTTCTATTTCTTTCTCATACAAAACCACTATATTTTTGTATACTTTTCAAATTATAATGACTTGAATTAATGTACATTGCTATTTCATCTAGTGTGCACTTCTTTATAATATTGTATATGGGTAAAGAAGAATACGTGTGTCGACCTTATCAGTACCATGCACCACCATGCTTTAAGAAAGAAGTTACAAACTTTTCATCTGATTTAAAGGTATGGTAGAATCACACGGTTAACAAACCCGTATACTATTAAAATATACATATAATGCTCAAACATTCGATTAGTAGATAACATATTTCTTCTGGTGTCTGTTAGGTTTATTTGTACCGCAAGGTACTACCGTACTACCACAGCTATCCAAGGATTATCATATCATAGCTTGCTAAAGGTTGGAAGTAGTATTACATCTTAATGTTTCAAAATAATTGACATAAAAATATTATCTATTTTGTGAAAGTATGAAGATTTTCATGAAATATAAATGTTTAATTTTGCAGAAAAAATTCATAAATTTATGTTATATTGTGAAATAAATAGCAAAACTGAACTTGGGAAAACAAAACCCATTAAGGCTACGTGGTATATAAACTATTTACCATTAAGGTGATAGATAAATTTCATTCAGAATGTGTTGCTCAGAATGTACAGTGAGCTTATATCATCCAACATTGCTGAAGCTGAAGCTGATAAGATTCGTGAAGAAATAACAATCTGGCATTAAGATTTTGATCAGATGGTGATGGTGATGGTAAGGCAGAGAGTGAAAGGGAGGTTGAGGGCGTGGAGGAGGATGGTGGTGGTAGTAGTGATTTGACGATTTTGCCCCTGTTTGAGCAGTTTTTGTCAACTGCCAAGCCATTGGCAAAATGTGTTGCAGCTCCTTTATGTTATAATGGTGAAATAAAAGATTTGCATGTCTTTTATGGGAATGATAAATTTTATGTCCTCTTTAGGTTTCATCAAGTAAGAATATTCAATATTCACTTTTTTTAATTAAATTTTTTTTTCAGGTTGCAGGAAGGGCAAGAATGGAACCGATTTTACCTCCTTTCATTGAAGTCGCATTTACCGTAATAACCCTCTCTTTATTTCCATCTAAATCTTTATATTTTCAAGTGTTTTTGAGTTTGACCGGTAACTAAACATAAACTTAGGGGTATGGGCTTGAATACAATGAACTTCGTGAGTATACTCATGGATTCTTCAGCAATGTAGTAGAAATCTTGGAGGATGGAATGATTCAGGTATTTGAAAAAAAAAATTAAAAAATTTGTGAGTGTGTGTATGTTAGTTTGTGTTATGTGAATGATTATGTTCTTCCAAATAAATCATTGTAATGTGAATGAGTTTGTTCTTCCACCTTCTGCTAACACTGGTTTCAATATCAATGAGGATACCCGCCTCATTTGGCCGGAACCGGAGGTTCCTATAAAATTAAAACTGGAACCGGAACCAATCTATACAGTTCTTACATTTTTGGAACCAGATCAATTTTTTATGTCTTTGTTGTTTTTTTCAAGCAGATACTCGGGTATTTATGTCTTTGTTATTTTTTTCAAGTTTTTGCAGATATACAAGTGTTGCATTCTTCATTTCAATTGTTAATTGTACTACTAATGATGGAAGCTACTAATAAAGGATATGGAAGAAGCCGCATGAAATAGATTTTTTGTATGAAACACAGTAGATTAGATGAATGCAAATTTATATATTGTAAGAAATAGAATTGTATGACATTAAATTTTATGCAATGAATTGTATTTTTTGTATATGGTATTTTATTTCTATTATGAGACATTAAATGCAAATTTAATTTAAAAATTAATAAATATATAAATATATTTTTTTTAAACATTTAAATTTACGATACGCAAAAATGTGTGTCATCTTCATTTATGACATGGCCTTTCTTGAAAGGGGTTTTAGTGATACGCATTGTGTGTCATAAATGCACGTCGTAAATGCGCGTCGTCTATAGACGACGCGCGAAAGTGTGTCATCTCTCGTTATGACAGGGCCTTTCTTGACGCGCATTTGCGCGTTGTCTGAGCGTTTTACGACACGCATTGCGCGTCGTAAAAGGCTGTTTTTCTAGTAGTGCCTGGTTCTTGGCCATAGATCACCCTCAATGGATATTTATATTTTTGAGGCATGTGGTGGATGAGTTGAAAATGTTGTGGGATGAAGGAGTCCAAATGAGAGATGCGTCAACTAACACTTTATTCAATATGCATGCGATGTTGTTATGGACTATCAATAATTTCATATCATGTGGTTATTTATTTGGATAGAGTGGTCAAGGTTATTTATCATGCCCTACTTGTAACACAGACACATCTTCTATTCATGTGACCAACAAGATGTCTTATGTAGTCATAGATGATTCTTGCATACGATTCATAGCTGGAGGAAGAGTTTATTGTTAATGGTCAACCTGATAGAAGACCGTCTCCAAGACAATGCAGTAATGACGCTATATTAACTCAACTAGCTAGTCTCCCTAATCGTATTCTGGGAAAGCATCCTAAGCATGAGGGTGAAAAAAAGGTGCAATGATGAAACAAAAAAGAATATTGAATGGGACGAAACAAAGTATCTTCTTTGAGCTTGAGTATTGGTCTTCCCTTGACCAAAAACACAATATTGATTTTATGCAAGTAAAGAAAACTGTGGATAAGGATGTGTTGAATACTTCACTAGTGAGCAATAAAACCAAACACACAAAAGAAGTAAGATATCACATGACAAAAATAGGTATTCAGCTAGATCAATTGCCAAAAGAGAAAGTCAACAAGAAGAAGAAAAAAAACAAGAAAAAAGAAAGACCAGAAGAAGAAAGTAATACTAAAGGAGTGAGACTACATGATGGTTTTATCAACTCATTAAAGGAGTGACTACATGATGGTTTTGGATCGAACTTTAAGAAGAATGTGAATTATACTCAATCAAATATGATTAGGCTAAAATCTCATGATCATCACATCCTCATACAACAATTGCTACCTATAGGGTTTCGAGTAGGTATACCAGCAAATGTTTCAACAACACTCATTTACTTGTGTAAATTCTTTCAAAAAAAGTTGTGCACGGTCCTTAGCTTTTATCAACATGAGAAAAGCCCAATCAGAAGTGGTGAAGATATTATGATTCTTGAGTTGATATATCCTCCAACATTTTTCGACATAATGATTCATCTAGTTCTTCATTTACCTAAACAAGCCATTCTTTAAGGACTTGTACACATGAGATGGATGTATCCCTTTGAAAGATACATGAAAAAACTTCAAAATTATGTTAGAAACAAAGTCAAGGTAGAAGGTTCGATAGCATAGGGTTATGTTGCAGACGAAGCTTTGCGATATATATATATATATATATATATATATATATATATATATATATATATATATATATATATATATTGACGGTATGTAAACCAAATTTAATTTTGTTGATAGAAATGAGGATCCCGACTTTCCAAAATGGCAACAGTATGTGTTCTCATCACAATGTCGACCGATGTCTACTAAGAAGCTCACCGAACTTTGTAAAGAAGCCAAAAAATCATTGCATTGGTTTGTACTAAATAGTTGCGATGAGGATGAGATGAAAAACTACAAATCATAAGTTTTTTGATCTATTAACCACTTTTTCGATAGTGTTAGGATATCGTCAAACTATTCTAATTGTTTTGTCCCACGTCCAGTGAATTCAAATCAGAATTGCTTGAAAGTTATTTTAAACAGAATTTCCTTCATGGTTCAAAAGAAAGGTAAATACCTTATAAATATATAATGTAAAACTAATATATATTATTACTTAATTGTACAATATTATATTTCATTATAGACTTATCGTCTCAAAAAAGAATCACCTTTGGACTATACTTGTTGGATTTAGATGTCTAAGCCATTAACTAAATTGGTATATTCTTTAATTAGAATCAAAGTCCTTTTTGGGTTGCCATCGTGACCAGAAATAGCTAGAAATGATATTAGGAGAGAGAAATATAATTTATTAGATTATTATATTATTAATAAACCAATTGGAGTTATGGAAAAATGATTTGTTAATATATTATAAACAATAGGTTTATTGATTTATTATGTGATTAATAAATTAATAAAAGATCAATTGTTAAATAATTGATTTGTTAATTTATATGATTAACAAATTAATACGAAATCAATTTGAATTAATTAATTATTAATCTGGAATTAATTCAGGATTAATTGGAATTAATTGAATGTGCAAGAGGCGAATTGTAATTGTTTAATAGTAGAACAAAAAGGGCAATTCTAGAATCCTCCATATCAGGGACGGTTTTGTGGAGTTCCTTAGGGTTTCCAAAGCCTCATGGTTCCATAGAAGGACATGATTTGAATTATGATTAAATCTATTGTTTAATTAATTCAAATCTTGTTTTGCTTGCAAGTTACTAAACTATAAATTGGACACATTGGCTTGCGATTTTTATTCACCACATTACCTAAAGGCATAGGAATGAAATTCCATTGATATCTCCTCTCTCCTCCTCATTCTAGGTTTTCTAGTTTTGGATGTGAGACATTAGAGGCATCATCCTTTTGGTGCTTGCTTTCAAAGGAACTTCAAGAGGATTTGATTTGATTATTTG